CCTGGCAGCATAGAGAGTTAAGTCTCAGTGCTTAACCCCCTGAGTTGGATCCCCAGCCAGGGAGCTAGACCTCTCCTGTCTTGCCCACTGCTCCCCTCAGCAGAGTACTTCTTCCATCTGCCTGTTCTGCTCCCCACTCTGTCTCTGGTGAAGACTCTCACCTCCCCTGCACCTATGGCCTATACCCCAGCTCTTGTATACATAAATAAATAAAAATAGATCTTTAAAAGCTTCACATATCACATTCGTTAGTGTGGTACTCCTCTCAGTTAAGAAGGATTAAAAGCAAGTTTACTTTGAGAAACTTCTCATGATGAGTCCTGAGAGATCCTACTTGGAAGGGCTGTATACAATGACTATAAAGGAATCCTAGCTGCAATAGGGCTGAGTGACTCTAAGCCGGACGTCTTCCATTGTGTGTGCTAATTCGTGCTACAACCATGATAGGCAGATAACTCTCAAATATATTGTGCAGAGAGAGAAAAGTCAAACCCCAAAGAATAACAACTTGCTCTGGTCATCTGAAATTCTAGAAAAGACTGTAAACTGTGATAGATACACAGGTATGGGGACAGTGAAAAGTGAGGATTGACTGGGTAGAGGAGGGACTTTTCAGAACATGGAAATACTCTAGATTTTATTGTGGTGGTCATTATACACTTGTGGAATGAGGAAAGGAAAGGAAAATCTGCATACCTTTTCTTCTTTACTTCCCATTCTCAATGCTTTTTTGATCATTTGTAACATCCCAGAATAGATTTGCAATTTAGGCAATAGGTTTGCAATTTAGGTAATTATTCTTCTTCTCCGGTTTTTTGTTTTGCTTTTTTTTTTTTGGCTCCAGCCAGCCTAATTCAGAAAACACTTCTAAATGCAAGACCTTTGACTTTAATCCATTTGGTTACATAAGAGCAAGCTGAACACAAAGGAAACATTAATTTGTTCCTTCTTGCTGAAAACATTAGGTAGAGATATGCTTTTCATTGTGACTCATACAACATATTTATACTTAAACTGCTCATGCTCGTTTGGCCTATTCTGACTTGTCATGGGAATCATTTAACTGTGTCCTACGTTTTCTTCCTACTGTTTGGGTTTGGCTTCATCGCTTGTCTCCTCTGTTAATAAAAGGTTCTTCATATTTACCTCTCTTTTCCTAGGGGCACATGAGAGACTAATGATATGATTCTGAGCCTTGCTATCCTGACTAAAGCAGCGTGGTGTAAACTTGAGTGCAGATGTCCCCAGGCCAGCTCTGACTCTTTTCTTGCCCTTCCAGACTCCAGAGCCAGGTGCACACGTGCTGTCTGAAGGTGAGATCGAAGATAAACTGCTCCCCTCTTCTGAAGAGCAGGAGGAACAGGGATGGAGCCAGGAGACAGACCACGACAATTTTGACACCCTTTCCCACCAGAGTGAGAGCCGATCAGACACTAAAACCGACCCTTTTGAAAGTGCTTCTGACACAGAGTCCCTGCCTGGGAACCTTAGAAAGGCATTATGCCCCCTTCCAAGTGGCACCTCCGTGGACAGAGAATCATGGAGAGACCCTGAAGTGCCAGCAAACGCTGCTCAGGAGCAGCATCTGACCAGTATCTCTGGGATTGATCCAGAGGAAGAACGAGATTTGTCCTCAGCAGTCAAGGAAGGGTCTTTCAAAAGTGGGACCAGAGCCTTTGCTAGAAAAGAGAACGCCAGTCACCTCTGGGACAGTGTGGTCAGCCTGGAGCCAGAGTGTGCCCTGGTGGGGGCCCCTCAACTCATAGGGGGCTCACAGAGCACCACAGGCAGTTGCAGTCTCCAGCCAGCCAAGGTGGTGACTGTCCAAGACCAGGGTGGGCTCTCTGATTTTCCACTTCAGAAATCCAGGTCTGAAAGCTGTTTGGGGGATCCTGTGGTCTGGCCCTTTCTGCTGTGGTGCTGTGAACTGGGTCAGAGCTGGCCACATATTCACAGCAGGACCAAGGAAGCAGAGCTGCCTGGTCGAGGATGGCTGGACAGCACAGGAGCCAGGACAGAGGAGAGCATTCTAGGCCCCCACAGGAACACTGACTTGCTGTGGCCTCAGTCCTGCTTCCAGTCCCCCTGCCAGCCTGCTTTAGGGACATCTCGTCTCGCAAATGCCAACCTTCACCATAGTGCTTCCGAAAATACTGACAGCAAAGAAAGGGCTTCCCCAGGGCACCACCGTCGGCACACGGGGACAGTGACCAGGGCCCATTCCATAGCAGCGTTTCCGTTAAGATACCTGGAGGTTCACCCAGGACAGGATGTGGTGAAACTGGGGAGCCATTTGAAAGAAAGGACAAGCACCTCAGAACAAGATCCAAGCACACCAGGCCCTCTTGCTCCCACCCAAGTGTCTCCCCTGTGTCCTGCTTCTCAAAGGACTCCTTATTTGCAAAATCAATACAGACGCAGTGCCCTTAGCTGGAGAAAGGCTTCTCAGTGCACACCTTCTGAACACCTCCAGCTGGAAGACCGGTTGGGACAAGATTCTAGGTCTTGCCTAGTCTCTTCATGCCTTCCTTCAGAGAGGGGTAGACTCCAAACAGAGGAAGTGCCGGTGCCCACAGAGTGCAAGTCAGAACATACCCCAGAGAGCAGACCAGAGGAACCTGGAGGTGCTGGCCCTCTCCCAAACACTGTTGATGTGAATGATAAACAAAAGCGTCTTCAGGACATTTCTGTTGAGGCAGGAAACCAAACTAGTAATTACACATCAAAGTATGTTCTTGGTGAGAACAGAAAGCTACCTGCTAGGGCTGAGTTCCCAGATGATTCTAGCAATAGCGGGTCCCAGGTGTGGAACCCAGACTGGATGAGGCACTCTGGAGCGAGTAATGGTGCAGACACCCAAGTGACCTCTCTGAAATCCAGTGTAGCAAATACTTCAAGGGAAGTACAGCATGAAATAGTTCTAGATCCTGGTTGTGCTAAAAGTGCCTCCCAGGATTATCCAGAAATCACAGCCGCTGCTGTGTCTCACCACGGCCGTGGTGATGAAGCAGGTGATCAGGAGCTGGAAGGGGTTGCCATGCCTTTACAGGGAGGCCTGCAGTTGGAACCCAGAGCAGACACCCCTCAAGGCAAGTGTGCGCTCATCATTATAGCTGTTGAGCAGAAAGGGCTGCAGGCCACCAGGAGGAGAGTGGTTCCTTTTCCAGAAGCACTGCCCTGTGAGTGTTTGGAGGAAAGACCAGAATCTCCCCATAGTGCTGGATCGACTGGGGCTGGGACCTCACAATCATGTAGCAATCAGTGTGAGTTGCCAGCCAGCCACAGACTGGGAGGTGATGATGGGGCTTTTGAGCTGGTGGCCCAAGGCTCAGAGCATGGGATAGCTCTGGACCCCCAAGATACTTCAAAAGAGTGGACCCTAGCTGGAGAGACTGGTCCCCAAGAGCGCAGGTGGGTCAGGCTGAGCATAGCTGAGTCTGCAGAGGAGAAACCACCTGGGATGGGCCAACTCTCCTTGACACAGGGTGAGTGGGAGGACGATGACAGAGCCACGGGTTCCCAGCCTGAACACACACCTGTGGCCAGAAGCCTGCACTTCGTGGAGAGTCCAGGGGCAGAGACCCCCGAAGACAGGCTAAGGGATCGGGGAGCTGAGAGTGTGCCTTTTGGTGCTGGGCTGGAGGCGTGGGAGTGTCCTGAGGCCCATGCCTGGGTCACCCACAAGCTACCGGTCCCCAGCCAGCTGGGTCAGGAGGAGGGGGAGAGCCAGTTCCCAACAGTGGAAAGCCCCAGAGGGTCCTCCACCCAGGGATTGCCTGTGCCTGTCAGCCCCGTGGCCCCCCTTGAACAGAGAACAGGGCAAGAGGAGGTTTCCCCTGGCCCTGGGGACCTGAACTCTGTTCCTAAGATCGTCCTCTGGGATGCAGGGCCAGCAGAGGGCAGCGAGGCAGAAGCACCAGAGGATTCAAGTGGCCCCAGGCTGTCCCCAGAGTGTGGCCACGCCAGGAAACTCCAAACTCCAGAGAAGAGGCTCCGGGCCCGGCTGGCTTCAGCTCATAAGACGTTTTCAAGTTTTTTTGAATCAAAAGTTATAGAAAAAGAAAACACTGATGAATGTTCTCCAGGTTCTCTCAGGGGCCAGAAGAAGAGCAGGCTGCGCCAGAGTTCCTGGCGTGTATTCTTGAAAAGCAAAGATGCGGGAGGCCCCAAGAGGCCCTCCCTAGGGAACTTGGTTCCAGGCCTGGAAATCCTGAATCCTCTCAGACCAGCCCCACCAGGGACCAGCAGCCACTGTGAGGAGCAGGCCGTGGACAAGGAGACCTACGCTTTTAACAATCCCTGGGTACCACCCACACCTTTGTCATCCAGCAGGTCTGTCTCTCCGGACAACCGGAGGAAAAGTGAGCCAACTTTCAAGCGTACAAGCCCCCAGGAAGGCAGTAGGCACCCACCTGCAGGTCTCCTTCAGGAAAAGCCCCAGCTGATATCACCTCCTAGCTCTCCCGCCCAAAAGGCTGGGCTCAACCTTACCCTTCCCTCCAGCTCTACCTGCTGCTTGGCTTCCGGAAGCCAAGGTGTGCCTTGCAAACCCATGAGCCCCAAGCCCCATAGTGCCAAGCCTGGAGCCCAGTGGGGGGAACCCCGCTACCCTGGCAGGGGCAGTACCATCTCCATGGTCTCTCTGGGAAGTTACAAAAGTGTGGACAACAGCGCAGAGACCCCTGAAAGGCGCAGGACTCCCAAGGCCCGGACAAGCCGCCTGCTTTCTCTGCAGACACTGGACCAGGATGGCCAGAAGGAAGACCTGCAGCGCCACTTCAGCCTGAGCACAGCACCCTCGCTCAGGGACCTTCCTGGGAGTGAGGTGAGTGATCTGTGACACGCGTCAAGTCTTCTATTTGCCTCTTAAGGTAAGAAGAGGGGCCCACACACAGAAATTTCCTTAAGTGAGAAGGGAAATAAAGTAGGAAAAGCTATTTGCCTGCAAGGTGAAAAAGCAACAGCCCTGCAGCCTCTCTGGGGTATCAGGCACAAGCCTAATCAGCACAGCCTGTGACCAGCTTCCTGGAATTTGCCAAATTCTCAGTGGGAACTGGCATTTTATTATAACTTTATTTTGTGCTTCCGGTTGTTTCTCCTGTACAGTTCAAACAATTTGCATTCCCTTTTCTATTATCAGGCAGCTAATAGTCTTTACCGTTGTCTGTTAAATTGTTGAAGTAGACTTTTGTGTCGATTTTCATTCTTCCCCACTCCAGAGGCTTTTTTTTTTTAAGGCTTTTTTATTATTATTATTTAATTTTTTTTTGGTCCAATGTATCATTCTTCCTCTCAGATGCAGTCCCTGTAAAATTCCCATATGTGTTCAGGTTTCCTTTTGAATTAATGTTTTTGTGTCGTTTGGGTAGATTCTGAGGAGTGGAATTGCTGGGTCATATGGTAGCTCCATGTTTAGCAGTTTGAGGAACCTCCATAAAGCTTTCTATAGTGCTTGTACCAGTTTGCATTCCCACCAGCAATGTAGGAGAGTTACTTATTTATCACATCTTTGCCATCATTTGTTGTTGCCAATTTGTTTTTTTTTTAATATGGGCCATTCTCACAGGTATAAAGTGATATCTTATTGGGGGTTTTATTTGCATTTCCCTGATTATAAGTGATGTTGAACATTTTTTCATAAACCTGTTGGTCATTTGCATTGCCTTTAAGGAAGTGTCTTTTTAGCTCTTTTGCCCATTTTTGGACTGGATTGTTTACTTTGTTTTTGTTGAATGATGTAAGTTTTTTTTGGATCTTTGGACATCAGTCCCTTATCAATTATATTGTCTGCAAATATTATCTCCCAATCAGTAGTCACTTTGTTTTGGTTATTGTCTCTTTTACTGTACAAAAGCATTTTAATTTGATATAATCCCAGCTGTCTGTCTTTTCCTGTCCTTTCTTTGCTTCAGTGTGAAGGTTTTATAGAGAAATTCCCCTTGTCTTCTAGCATTTTTATGGACTCATGTTTTTTAATTTACATCCTTTCCAATGGAAATTTTTTCAGTGTGAGGAGTAAGGTAGGAGTTGGTGCTTCTGAAATTACCAGAAAAATAAAAAATGTCTTGATGGGCCCTCCCTGGTGGCGCAGCAGGTTAAAGCACAGCACTGAGAAGCTAAAGCCACTTCCGCATGAGTTCGATTACCGCCTGCCCCGGAGGTGACCGCATGGTGCAGCAGACCTCTCCTGACCCGCCCGCTGCTCCCCTCAGCAGTGTACTTTATCGATCTGCCTGTTCTGCTCCCCACTCTGTCTCTGGTGAAGCCTCTCGCCACCCCTGAGCCTCTGGCCTGTACCCCAGTTCTGTATGCACAAATAAATAAATCTTTAAAAAATATATGTCTTGCTCACAGCAAAGGCTTGCACTCAGGATAGGGTGGTCTGGGGTGGTGGATGGGCACATGGCAGGGCACACAAGGTTGGGATTTCTTACAAATAAAGTGACCCTGGGAAGAAGACAGCTTCTTGGAAATTCCAGAAAGAATATTCTTGGAACAATGCTAATCAATTCCCCATTGTCGTGCCCACTCCTTGACTAATTTAAACAAATGGATTTGGCATCTCACCGAGCCCAGCAGAGTACTGCCAAGACCTCAGGACTGATGTGAGCCCCAAGCTGATGGCAGAGTGCAAGTCCCACTGACCCCACTTAACCTGATTTTGGGTGAGCTGGAGCCAGAGGAACTGTCAGCAGCACAGGGTGGAGTATGATAACTCCCTCCCTCCCCAGGTGACACTCACGTGTTACCGGGGGGCTCTTCTGTCTCAAAGCAAGTACGCTTTCACTTGCTCATATTCACTGCTCTTAGCTCTGTCCATGTTCTGCTGCATGAGCACCCTAAGTCTTCCTTCTTCCCTAGGATGATTTAAAACACAAAAAGCTGGCACAGCAGACCTCACTTGACCTGTCTGCTGCCCCCCTCAGAAGTATATTTCAGAAGTATATTTCAGTCCATCTGCCTTTTCTGCTCCCTACTCTGTCTCTGGTGAATCCTCTCACCCCCGCACCTCTGGCCTGTCCCCCAGTTCTTCTATGCATAAATAAATAAATCTTTAAAAATAATAATAAAACCCAAAAGGCAGTTTGAGTGAGCATTTACGGGGCCCCAGCTTCATTCCTGATTACTTGACACTCATCTCCCTTTCAGCTCACTCCGAGGCCCACACCACCTTCTTTGGCCCATCTGAGCCAAATCTGAGCAGACACTCTGGGGGTGAGGGCCCTGGGTGAGAAGCAACAGACCTACAGCCTCCCAGAGGCCTCTGGGCACTGTGGGCTACATAGGGGGAAAGGGACGTGGGAGGAGAATCTCACAGTACCATATTTCCCCTCTGGAATTAGACATTGGATATGCAAATATGATCATAACCAGCTGAAAATTACCTCACTTTACTTAACATATTTCCTCACCTGTGAGGATGTAAACATAGCATGCAAATTTCTTTTCCCTTTGTCATCTTTTGTTGTCACTAAAGTTTTTATAACTCTGTAGGCTGTAGAAAGGAAAAAGTAACCATTTGTCACCAAGATCCTTTAGTCCCATCGCACCAAAGGAAGCAATGTCAGCTGTCTAATGTGTGTTCTCTTCCCACATACACAGGCATCAAAAGGGAGAGTTTTGGGGAAAAGCGTCACACGGCTCTTCATACATGTTGCTCTGTAGCTTCCTGATGTACTTGAGAATTCAGTGTGTACAGTCCCCCAACAGTTTCATTCTGTGCATCGCCTTCTTACAAGTCGTGTGATGTTTCATAGTATGTCTAGTCTATATTTTAGTTACCGATTCTTCTATTGATTAATATTGATTTCCAGCTTGGAGCCATGCTGAGTAATGTGTCCAGTCTCCTTGACCACATTTCTTAGGTATTGATATTTTTATTTCTGTGGGATATAAACCAGGATTGTGCAATCAGAGCTACATGTATTTTTAATTTTAATAGATTTCAGATTACTTTTAGAGGTTACTTTGGAAATTAACATTCTCAACAGCAGTACACAAGAGGGCCTATTTCCTGCTGAGATACGTACTGCTTCTTTGACCTTTGACTGAAATACACAGAGAATTTGATGTGCAATATGTAAATAACAAGACTTATTTAACAGCATTATAGATATATGTGTGTGCGTGCATGTGCACATACACACACAGGAAAAAACAGTCATTGGAGATTGTCCCTGGGTGCAGTGATGATCACGTGGGCTGGCACAGGTGGTGTGGGCCTTGGGCATACCTGGCATAACCTGCATGGGATTGAACAGGCTGTAAAAGAGAGTGAAAGGAATGGCAGCGGTATTACAGAGAAGCATAAAGAGGAGGGACAGAAAAGAGAGTCCAGGCACTTAGAGTGGCTAGTAGAGGAGCCTTTATGGGGGCCCCCAGGTGAGGTTCACTGACCCCCACAGGGGTCAGAGAAGTCATGCCCAGGCCAGAGTCTGGGGGCAGGGGATGGTTTAAGGGCTTTTGGGATTCGGTCAAGTATGGGAAGATAGGGCGGAAGATGGGAGGAAGTGGTTGTTTTATTCGGGTAGGGGAAGATAAACACAAGGCCAAGTTTCAAGGCCCCCTTTCCCACCTCCCTGGGTTTCGAGGAGCCCATGAGTCCCTTGGGTGACCTTTCAGAGAGGAGTGTCAAGTGGCCAGCAAAGGGCCAAGCGTGAAGCTGAGGCTCCATAAGTGCTCACTCCTATTCCTTTTTGTGTTTTAAATCTGCTGGAGGAGAGAGAAGACTTAGGGTACTTGCAGAGCAGAACATGGACAGTGACCGAGAGCACAGAGAAGGGGAAGAAAAGAAAAGCTCTGGAGAGTCTGCTCTCTCCAGTGGAAGCTCTGGGCAGTAGTGGTGGAGAAGCTGGAGCTACGGGAGAGCAGGCTGTGACTGTGGGGTTCTGTGCAGGGAAGTCAAGTCAGCTTTCCTGTTTCTTTCCAAAGACTTTCAAAGAGTAACAATGTCTATTCCTATACAGTAAAACAACCATTCTTAATATTATGTTAAACAATCTTCCAGCTTTTTTCCCCTAAAATGTCTATTTTTTGGGCCCTCCCTGGTGGCGCAACGTGTCAGGACACAGCACTGCAAGCTAGCTGCAGCCATTTAAATGTAAGTTCGATCCCCAACCCCAGAGGTGACCCACATGGTGCAGCAGACCTCTCCTGTCTGGCCCGCTGCTCCCCTCAGCAGTGTACTTCGTTGATCTGCCTGTTCTGCTCCCCATTCTGTCTCTGGGGAATCATCTCATTGCCCCTGCACTCTGATCTGTACCCCTGTTCTGTATGAATAATTAAATCTTTTTTTAAAAGTTTCCTATTTTTAACATAGTTACATGATCCTGCCCTCAAATGATCCTTTAATTTTATGATTTTACATCCTGAAGTTTGTTTCTTTGAAGTTCAGAGACACAGAGGTCATACATACAAGCCTACTACACATGTGTGTATATAAAATATTACTGCAAATAACTGAGTGACCTTCACCTAAGTCCAGAAATGCCACACTGCCCTCTACCCCCGACTCCAGCTTAGAGCACCCCTTTAAGTCCTCACTGTGTCCACTTTCATGGTATTCACTTTCTTGCCTTTCATTCCAATTTTCCTACTTAATTTTGCATCCCAAACACTAGTTTTTCTTCCCTATTTTTTAGATTTATGTAAATAAAGCCTAGGTAGCTTTTGCTCTAGTTACATTCAGACTCATCTAGATCTGTGTGTCTAAACTCCATTCTTTTATTGTATTTAGGGTTCATTTGAACCAGCAAACTACAATGTGTTCAGCAGTTGACTACTGCTGAACTCTGGGGATTTCTGCCATCTGGGTTTCCTGGAGCT